ACCTATTGCTGAAAAAAATACTTCTTTGCCTTTTTCTTGAAGTAAATATATATAAGTCGAAATTGACCCATAACACCATAGATGTTACTATAGTTAAAAATAAAATAAAATAAAACAAATTTATTTAAGAGATGTGTTCAAATACCCCTCAGTAATAGTCAGGCAACACAACAACCTTTTGTTTATCTATATCATTATCTTGAGGTTCATTTCACCATTTTTTAAATTTAAATTGTATACAGACAAAAAACAGGCCCAGAGGCCCACACCAAAAATATTAAAACCAATATTTTCATGGATAAGGAAGCCTAACAAAGCAACCAAGACATGAGAAACAAATTGGATGATAGAAAATTGTTTTTGTGTATTTTACAGCTGATTTAAGACACGGGTCACAATCGACCCATTTACACAGAGGATGGTAACAGACAGCTAACACAGGAGGAAGGTTAAGTCAACAGTCAGCAAAAACCTCCAACTACAAAGTCTTATTTCAAGGGGATCACATCTGTAAAAACTACCCCAGCATAACTTGAACACAACAGTCTTGACAAAAACTACATGTGTTGATTTTCAAACCAGCAGCCTTCAGTGCCATTAGCGCAATCCTTTACAGCACAATTTAGTTTTAGCAGGAATCTCCTATTTTATCTGAAGAACACGTTCAACATGACAGCATTGAAACTGCATCATTAAACAAGCAGCATCTGAGGAACAAATGCTCCAATAAAACCATGACTGTAGATGGCTGCTTCACAAAAGGATTTCTACGACATATCAAACATTTTTAACATTTCAAAAAGTCCATGTTTTTAGTTTCACACTTTTTAAATGTTTTATTAGACACGATGTAGGAATGTATTGCACTGTCTTGTATAAAGTATTGTGATTATTCATCATTTTCTATTTTCTATTTTGACAATTTGGGATGTTAAATGAGATTAATGTGACAAAATAACTTCTAAAAAATCTTTCAAAATTCTTTTAACTTTACTTTGAACTAGAACTTTCTGGAGGACTATATTTTACAGAAGGAAGTCGACAGAATAGGAAAAATCTGACCGCAAAAGAGACAATTTGAAACATGATTAATGCTACAAAACACCTTGAAATTTTAAAAAAAAAACATTGTTGAGGACTATATTTTAAAGATTAAAGTCAGCCACAATAATCATTCTAACAATCAACAGATAGCAAAAGGGACCATTTGAAATGTGATTACTGCTACAAAATATCTTAAAAAACATTTTAAATACCATTTCTGAGGACTATATTTGAAAGGTTAATTCAACAGAGTGAAAAAATCAGAGAAGGATAATGTGAAATGTGATTAATGCCACAAAATACCTTCAAGAAATTTAAAAAATAACAACTTTGAAAACGATATTTTACAGATTAAACTAAACAATAAAATCTCAGACAGCAAAATACTACGACAAAATACCTTCAAACAATTGAAAACAGAACATTGTTGAGGACGATATCTTAAAGTCGACTAAATAAAAAATTCAGATGGCAAAAAAGATGATTTGAAATATGATTAAAGCTACAAGACACCTTATATATAGAGAGATTTGTTTGTTAAATAACATTTTGAAGGACTATATTTTTAAGATTAGTCAGCAGAATAAGAAAAAAACAGCAAAAGAGAAGATTTGAAATGTGATTAATGCTATAAAATACCTGACTTTTTCCCCCTTTTTTCTAGTTTTCCAACTTTACAGAACTAAACCAGAAAACGTCCAATAACTACATTTCAAAAATACCTTTAAAGGGTTTAAAAGGATGTTTCCCCCCCTCTTTTTGTAATTTTAATTATTCAACAATAATAATTAAACATTTGAATAGCTAAACTTTAACAGACATCTTTCCCTAAATTCATGAATTTGAATGTTGGACTCTGGGAGGCTCATGTTATATTTGATATTTGATGCTAGCTGGCTAGTTAGCTAACAAACAGATAACACCAAACAAGTGCAAAATTTAAACGAAACAAAACCAAATTAAAGGCACTCAAATGTTATAAATGATTAAATTGAGGATGATTCTTACCTTGTCCATGCTTTGGCAGTAGAAGAAACCAGGTAGTCCTGTGAGTGGTTCTGGATCCGCTCGCTGAATGACAGTCGATGGCTCCATCATCAAATAAAAACACGGATTCCATGGCAACCACAGCTCTTTTGTTTTTCTTCAATTTTAAACAAAAACAGCAATCTCTGTACCCATTATGTTTAAATAAAAATAGAATGACATGAATCATAACATGGAATCGCCCTTTACAACAATACAACGGGTTTCTTCACCTGGTTCATGAGGAAATACTCAGCTGTTCAAAAAACAACAGAATGTAAACATAAATACTGTATAACAAGGAGTACCTTTTTTGAAATCAAAGCCCTGTAAGGTGTTTTGTTCTCGTTGTTCTTAGTATTTATGTTATTTTTCAATGCTACTTCATATTTTTACTCCACTAAAAACTCCACAATGTTTAGGCCTACGTGTTAACATTAGTTTCTACTGACTTTGCTGTTTGCTCTTTCAATCCAGAGAAAAACTATAGTTTATCATCATAACTAAATATATGTTACATTGATCATATGCAATGATTTGCAATCACATTAATATTACAGGAGAACTGCTTGTTAAAAATGATAACTCTGAATTTTAATTAAACTTTGCTATATTTTACATACCAACTTAGTTTAGCATTTATACAAAAAAGGTTTTAAGGAAATAAAGTATCAGCTTTTCCAGCTTATTTAATTTCATTTAGCTGCAATGACTTTATAAGTACAGCAGGGGTCACTATTGAATGACCAACACAGTGTCAATACAGTGCCGACACAGTTTGTGTAGTGTGTCAATACACTCCTTGAGGTATCATTATCCCATCACTACTCTCTGCCACCTGAAGACCCCACCAGCTGCTTTCCATCAGATCCTGTCTTTTCAATCATCTTGTTTGGATTTCCCGCCTTCATCTCCCGCCACCGAAACACCAACCTGGACCGGCTTCACTTTGCACCACACCGCCACACCACAGATCCCTGGAGTCCATGCCCCCCCTCCCCCATTCTGTCAGTAAGCTCTGAATCTCTTGCTCAGTTCTTCAATAAGCCCTTAGTTTGATTTAAACCTGATTAGTAGCTTTAGTATAGTTTGATTACTTCTGTTTATTGTTTCTTGCCTTTTGTTTTGTGTAAGTTTTTCTGCCAGCCCATTAGAGTGCACTGGTTGTTTTGAGTTCTGAGTTTATGGTCCCCGAACCCTGCACCACCTTTAGTTTAATAAATCCTTTTCTGAATGCGCACCTGTCTGCTGAGTCTTTGTCCTCGTTTGAGTCTCTGAACCTGATCCGTGACAGGTTCCTAAGTCTGAAAATAAAACGTTTTTTACAACAGTGGAAGAAAGTTTTCTGAGCAGAGCAAATTGAGATTACAAAGGAAGGTAACACAGTGCACACATGTAGGAATCAACATCTCTCTGGTGGTTGACATTAGCTGAACTTAACCACTCATTCAGGACTCTGATTCAAATGGAGCTGTAAGACAATGATTCCACCAGGAACACAGGGAAAATACACTCTAACACGTTTCTCACTCTGTGTTTGAGGAAATGTCTTAAGTGGGTTCATGATGTTTCTGCCTCAAGCTGATGATTGTGACTGATGAACTCCTGTAACACCCACTGACCACTTCCTCAACACTGTGTCAAATGTGCTGTGTGGTTTAGTGTTTTGGATACTAAAATTACAGATAGAGGCTGAATAATGCTAGAGCACACAATATACTATTTTTTGTTACATATTCTAATGCAAGAAAGATATTTGTTTTTATGTGTTTTAAAACTCTGAGATGGAACTCATCTGTGTTTCTTTAACTGCTGTCTATAGTCAGGACTGAATGGCTGACTTTGTTGTTAAACTCATGTTTCCTAATAGTGTCATTTTTCAGTTTTGTGGTTGTTGCACACTGACAGTGTTTTACACCTTTTCCCTGATTACAGTCACATTCTCACTATGTTACAGTGTACTTTATACTGTCTATATGATAAACATTTTATTTAATGTGAAGTTTGATCGAATTGCACCACAGCAGAAGTGATCCTACATGAGTGAGCTTCCTGCTCACAGGTGCAGGGCTTTAGAGTTCACTAAAATGTAATAATTTCTGCTGTTAGCTCCAAGCTGACCCAGATATAGTTCTGAAGATCTCATTCAAAGAAAGACTTCCCATCAGACTTCTATTTTTTTTTGCAGGTTTACTGCAAGAAACAAAATACTTTCAAAGGAAGCAAAACTTCTTGTACTGCATATGTCTATACCAGAGAAGCCACAAATGCAAGTACGTTGTATTTGCTTTTGCATGATTGGTTTGCAGTGGGGAAAAAAACTGTCCTCTACTCAGCCCAAACACCTTTGAGAAAGAATCAACACTTGCAGTAGCACGTCACTTCTTCAACAGATTTCTACAGGCTCTACTTCAAACTGCAGCTGAGCTCACAGTGATGAATCCTGAAGGTTACCCGAGTGATTCAGTTCCACTGCAGGGGAGGCCGTATGATGGGTTCTCTGGACAGCCTGCAGGCCCTTCAATGGTTCAATACACCACTGTGAACGTCACTGAGGAGCCCCCCAAGGACCACATCATCTGGTCCATCTTCAACTTTGCCTACATGAACCTATGCTGCCTCGGACTGGTAGCTCTCATCCACTCCATCAAGGTGAGTTTATGTGGACCGATTTTGAGATTCTTAGGAAGCTACATCTCTCGTCTGCCAAGCTTCTATTAGTGCACATTAAAAAGAAAAAAAAAAAGTAATTGTCAACAAGGTACAGAATAATGATAAAATACCAAAACAATAAAATTAAATACTAAAATAACAAACTGAAGAGCTGCAGATATTCACATTATGTTGAAACCATAAAACCATATATTTAAATGGAAGAATGGAGGATAAAGAGAGAAAGGAATCACATTTACGGCAAATATGAATCTCAAGCTTTTTCAGAGACTGTATGGTTTCAACATCGGCAGTTTTAATTTTCGTTGAGGTTGAACATAATTATCAGTATAGTACTAAAACCAGTATTTTCTGGACATTTCAGGCCAGAGATCGGAAGGTGGTTGGAGATCTGGAAGGAGCCAGAGAGTATGGCTCCATTGCTAGCTGCTTCAACATGGCTGCCACTGTCTTCACTTGCCTCATTATTCTCTTTCTCTTTTTCTTTGTTTTATTTGCCGTTCGTTTTTGAATTGCAAGGTAAATGTCCCATTGTGTACGTGTGACTTAAAGCTTTTGTAACTTTTTACATCTTTGTACTTACTTTCTCAAGCAAAAAAAAAAAAAAGGCATTTTATTGGTGTTGCAAGAAACTTAGATGGTTTCATCTGTAGTTCTCTGGTGACATTTTACCTGACTTCCTGTCCTGTGTCTCACCAATTGTTCCATAAAAACAACTTTCTGTGTCAATAAAG